CAAACCTAAACGTTTACTAGTTTCGAATAACTCAAGCGATATCATATAGGTAAACAAACCTAAACGTTTACTAGTTTCGAGTAACTCAAGCGATATCATATAGGTAAACAAACCTAAACGTTTACTAGTTTCGAGTAACTCAAGCGATATCATATAGGTAAACAAACCTAAACGTTTACTTCTGATACGGAGTGACGGTATAATTCCTAGTTGTGGTTGAGGGGGGTAAATGTCTGCTTCTGTGAAAGTGACTTATGGAAAAAGTGGGAACAAAAACTAGCAAGTGCAGATAGGACAGTAATAAATCATAAGTTTCATGTTCATTTGCTAACTAGTCAAACCCGTCAAGACTTACGTAACAGCTGTTAATGTGTTTATCTATACAAAGTTAATTTTTTTTGAAACTTCTAATTTTTATACTGAAATGAAATTCTGTATAAGCCATGCTACGTTACTACTTCAACTCTGACATCCATATTACGCCCTTAATGTTTACGACTGTGGCAGTATGATCTAAGTATGTACCCGAGAAATGTTATTATTACACTACAGAACTTGATATGGGAGTCATTTGGTTTTAAATTTTGTTATAAGACCCTGTAACTAACACAACATGAATTTTAGGGCTGTTGTTTTTTTCTTTTCAAGCTGAATATAGTACCTGAACCATTATTGAACCACCAGTTGAAAGCATTATATACACCAAACATTATATTGAATGCCCTCCTCCCCACCTCCCAGTGGCTCAGCGGTAAGTCCGAATATTTCTATCACTAAAAACCGAGTTCCCGTGGTGTGCACAACACAAATAGTCCACTGTAGAGCTTTGCGCTTAACAACAAACAAACAAATAATTATCCTGAGAACGTAAGACATATTTATCAAATCTAAACTTATCAACTACTACTATGTAAACTTATGTGGCCACTGCAGTGAAGTGTATTATATAAACATGCAAACAGTAGGCAGATAATGTTCGTAGTATTATATGAAACGTGCAAACAGTAGGTAGATAATGTTCGTAGTATTATATAAACATGCAAACAGTAGGTAGATAATGTTCGCAGTATTATACGAAACATGCAAACAGTAGGCAGATAATGTTCGTAGTATTATACGAAACATGCAAACAGTAGGTAGATAATGTTCGTAATATTACACGAAACATGCAAACAGTAGGTAGATAATGTTCGTAGTATTATACGAAACATGCAAACACTAGGCAGATAATGTTCGTAGTATTATACGAAACGTGCAAACAGTAGGTAGATAATGTTCGTAGTATTATATAAACATGCAAACAGTAGGTAGATAATGTTCGTAGTATTATATGAAACATGAAAACAGTAGGTAGATAATGTTCGTAGTATTATATAAACATGCAAACAGTAGGTAGATAATGTTCGTAGTATTATACGAAACAAACAGTAGGTAGATAATGTTCGTAGTATTATACGAAACAAACAGTAGGTAGATAATGTTCGTAGTATTATATACAACATGCAAACATTAACAGTTCTCAGAGAGAGAGAGAAAAATTGCATTTATTGACTCACTGGTCCATCTTGCGGATCATTCTGTAGTTAAGTCTTGCTCTTTCCTAAGATAAAACATATTTTTATTGAAGTGTTTATACGTGGATATTTCTGCAACTTGGAAGACATCAAATACTATTTTCTTCTGAGGACCCCTTTTAGCGCTAAAACGTATTATTGTAAAGTGTCTAGAAGACAACTCGCTTGTCCCTAATAGCTACTTACCTTATTCTGTAGCACTGTAGATGTGGTATTTTAGTGTCCAGTGGACAACCCGCTTGTCCCTAATAGCCACTTACCTAATGGTTGTCCACTGGACACTAAAATACCACATCTACAGTGCTACAGGTAAGTAGCTATTAGGGACAAGCGGGACACTAAAATACCACATCTACAGTGCTACAGGATTAGGAGTGGACAACCAGCTTGTCTTGATTAGCTACTTACCTAATCCTGTAGCACTGTAGATGTGGTATTTTAGTGTCCAGTGGACAACCCGCTTGTCCCTAGTAACTACTTACCTTATTCTGTAGCACTGTAGATGTGGTATTTTAGTGTCCAGTGGACAACCTGTTTGTCTTGATTAGCTACTTACCTAATCCTGTAGCACTATAGATGTGGTATTTTAGTGTCCATTGGACAACCTGTTGTCTTGATTAGCTACTTACCTAATCCTGTAGCACTGTAGATGTAGTATTTTAGTGTCCAGTGGACAACCTGTTTGTCTTGATTAGCTACTTACCTAATCCTGTAGCACTGTAGATGTAGTATTTTAGTGTCCAGTGGACAACCTGTTTGTCCCTAATAGCTACTT